AAAAAACAGTGAGCTAGCTCACACTAACTCAGCTTAGAGGGAACATTGGAGGGGAGCCCCTTCCCGTTGCACTCCAAGAGACTGGAGAAAGGCTTCCCTGCTGGGCGGCCGGGGTTGAGGTCAGGGGCTTCCAGCCGCTCCCCCACCCCCCACCCCAAAAAGCATCCTGGAAAGGTCCCCCAAAGACAAGAAAAGCCTTTGGGGAAAATTGGAAGGAAGCGGAGGGGCGCAGCAGAGCAGATTCACTGAGGGGAATAACCACATCCGTCTGCCCCTTTCCCAAACAACAGCCGGTTTCTCATCTTCCCCCCACCCCTCTTACTTGCGGGGGTGGGGGGTGAGTAGTAGAAACTTTCCAATTTCCCCTAGGGAGCTGACTCAAAAAAAACAAGTAAAGAAGGTCCTGCGGTTTGGCTGTGATTGCACCTCTCTGCCTTACCCCTTTCTCCCTTTCCCACCACAGCAACACACACCTGTTCCCTGCAAACCCAGATCTGGATGCAGATTCCAGAATCACAAGAGAGGGCAGAATAGCCTGTGCTATTGCAGAAACTGAAACAGGGGAGTCACGTTCCCGAAAGCTCCCCTGCATTAAAGAAAAGTCCAGGCTGCCAGAAAAGCAGCACAGCAGAGAAAGGGCCAAGAACATAGTAAACTTGCTCCCTGAAGTGTTAGTTTCCTGTTGGGAAGGCATCAGTGTGTTAGTTGTGCTTTTTCTGCCCTGGCTCCAACTTAGTGGATCACTTTGCCGAATAACATCCCTGCCCTGGGGGACTTGATGCAATTCCACAGGGCCTGTAAGGCAGAAATGTTTCACCAGGCATTTGGGTAAGGATACTGACAGTTACATCCTTCTGGCACGCCCATTCCACTCCGCAAGACAATAACACGACTGAAATTCTTCTTAAAGATCACTATGGCGTCCACTGAATAGGTTCTTGTTTTAGTCATGTCCTGCGCTTGTGGACACAGGAAATTGAGTTTTTGCTGTCTTTTGGTTTTAAAAATCTTTAGTAAAGAATTCCCTTGCTCGAAAGCCTGTCGAATCCAACTCTAGGGATGCGGTGCTCATCTCCATTTCCAAGCCGAAGAGCCAGTGCTGTCTGGAGACTTTCCATGGTCAAGTGGCCGGCATGACTAGACACCGAGGCACACGGAACAGCAGTTACCTTCCCACTGAAGTGGTATCTGTTTATCTGCTTGTAATTTCTTGCTTTCGAACTGCTAGGCTGGCAGGAGCTTTAACTCTCTATTAATTGTATTTATTACTATGTTGTAACTATTGTGACCCCCCCCAGCCCACTTGCAGGGAAGGCAGGAGAAGATATAGTGGCTACCTCTCTTCTCATCTTCAGGTTGACAGGTGCCCCGCCCCCTGACGTGGGTGCTGGGGGAAGGCAGGAGGCTGTAGGGGCGGTGCTGTGGGGGCGGCCACAGGCCGCCCCTCCCCCTGGGCTGGCGTGTGGAGCACATGGCTGATTCTGCGAGGTGGGGGAGGGAAAATGGAGTCCCTGGGTGCTTTTGACTGTTTTTGGGTGCTTTGAACGTGTTTGGGGCCAAGGAAGAGGCTTGTGTGGGCTGGAGTTTTCTGAAAACTGTGAAAGGTGCTTTTTACACTGTGGGTGTGCTTGGAGACCCAAAGGAGACCCAGGGGAGACTCTTGGATGGCTCCAGAGAGAGAGAGAGAGAGAGCTCTGTCTTAGCGCAGACTGCGGACTCCAGAGAGAGCCTCCCACCCCAGAAACCAAAAAAATAGCACAGACATGCCCCAGGGTCTCTTGGACAGTTCCTGGGACCTCCACCCAACCCCTTGCATGCACCCCAACCTTCCTCTGTACCCCAGGCTGATCAGAGGGTCAGGCGAGAGGCTGTAAGCCAAAAAGCCTCTGCAGAGAGGAAAAAAAGTGCAGCATTTTAAAAATGTGCTGTTCTGTCTGATAACAGCCGGCAGAGCCGAGAGATTCCCTCCCCCCCCCCCTCCCACAACAAAGGGGAAAACTCCTTCTGACG